GGGGGAGAGAAATTCCTGTGAAAAGGCCATTCTCATTTCATACAAACATGAATGGGTCAAGAAATTTTGTGGCCATGGTAAACGTTTCGATTCAACGGCTTCATCATTATTTGCTCAAAAGTCTGGTATATTGTTTAGTATTAAGAAGGCAATGTTTATCTTCGTGCCGTATATTTTCCATTGGAAGTGTTTAAAACCTAAAATCAATCTGGCGTACATCTTAAAATTACTTTGTTTTAGCTTTATTTTGTAGTTTATACAGTTAGCAACCTTTTTAAATGTATCTGGCGGTTGAGAAACCTGCCAATTAATATACAATTTTGTGACGATGCTGTTTTAAAATGGACGCCATAGACATAGTTATACAGCCTTCGATATAGCTAAGCCTGCCTAATCGAAAAATATGTTATACTGAAATTGTATTAATTTGAATGTCTTCTGGCTTTTTTTTTTCAGCAATGAAGATAGCTTGAAATGATTTCAAACAAGGAGAACCTGAAAGTCAGGATTTACTTATAACATTTATTATGACGAATTGTTAATCGTTTTGGCAAAAATAACTATACTGTTTATAGTTTATTTTATATATTTGTAAACTTTTTGTAAGCTTTTAAAATTATCAAACTTGTTTTAGTTTATGTAACAAAGCCTTTTTTAAAAATTCGTCAGTGGGAGGGCCGGGATATCTACACAAAGGGCCCACACCGTACCGAGTATGGAGAGATGAGAGATGGTTGTTGCATGGTGACAAAAAGTCTGATGTGGTGTCGTATGTAATAATAAGGATTGCATTTCGTTCGTTTTCTGAAAAAGATTTTTGGATATACAGCGTATTGTAGATAGACTGAATCTTCAGTTAAGTATACTTGCATGGTATGTATACTATGTATGTAAATACCACAAATGGGTCACTAACTTGTTTAGCCTGCCTTCCAACAACTCAAATCTTTACGGTCTGGGATATGCTATCCATTAGGAAATTCTAAGGTATTTACAACACAATGTTTAGCATTTTAAAAAAGACATTGAATCATTTGAAGATAAAAGACATGACAGACGATTCACAAATCAAGGTTCAGTTACTAGAATATCAAACCTCGCTTCCAACTCCATTTTTCCTCCCATGTTTTGCTTATATTTTAGAGAAAAGGGACCTTGACTGGGGGGGGGGGCAAAATAGTTGACTGCGGAGGGAGGGGAGGGAGGGGAGGGCACCATTTATAAAAGGCTGTGTTGTGTAACCATGCCTTTGGGAGTATAGACGGTACAAAAAAGTGAAGATTTCAAGGAATGCGGCAACACAATATATATAATCTTTAATTCCCGTCCGTATATCATCTATGAACGATGTTGACTTTAGCTGTATTTTACTGTCTAACAGCAGATCATTTTAAGTTAAGAAAGTAACAAGTAACTGAAACTCTTCCTGCATGCCAGAGAATATTTTTACATCGACAAGTCAGGGATTATTTTAAGGTTGGCAGTGCATGATAACCAATTTGTGCAATGATATTATTGATAAATGGCATGCATTTGTGCAGTGATAATTTTAGGCAGTAATGATTTTCTATAATTGATTAAAATTAGGTGATACTAATTTGCTCAAAAGACTCAAAAGCACGATAACCGTTCGTATTACACATAATTTAGCAAATAGCCAAATACACAAGGAAGACATTAAGTTATGCTGGTTTTCACTTAATATTTATTCAATTACGTGAAGCTACCCTTTTTCTGAAATATAAGCAAAGAAACTGAGTGCAGCCGGATTTCCATAACCAAACAATGCTTTTATATGGCCTATATAACATTTCAATCTTTGAAATTGAAGATGGAATATATCGAAAATTGTTGTTTCTGAAAATGCAAGAAATTAAATTGACCTCCGAAGGCTAAAAAATACGAAAATTTCCTGGGGAAGGACCTCAGGCCACCTATTCCCTAATGAACAAAGCGGTATCAATTTCTTCATGCGTAATACAAAATGACTGAAAAACGGCAAACTCCGCAAGGCTATATTATCCGCATTTTACAACAACTATATTATCCGCTATATTATCCGCATTTTGCAACGAAACTTCGGAATATTACTAATTTTGTGATGCTCTTTCAAGTTGTGATTGTGTTGACATTTTTGTCTAGACTTGTCTAGATCAAAATTTTGTTCATTAGGGAATATAGGTCCATTCCTCATCAGGCATCACATATATACTTGGCTCACTTTTCGTCGGTTCCCCGGCCCCCGGGTTAAGTGATGCCCACATCCCTTTTGGAATTTGGATTAATTTGATTAAAAAAAGGTGGCCTAGTACAGAACTGGATAACGTACAAATCTACATAGAGAAATGTACTCAGCGCTCCTTTCGGCTGTGTGACATACTGCTATTGGCAATTTAAAATAATTCCCGCATGAAGGGTGTTCCGAAAAAGTATACCTTTTGAAATCAAGCCTTTGTTGGAATTTGAATGTACCAGTTTGAGTTAATATGTACTTTGAGCGTATAATATAACACAATCAATAAAAACTCTTTGCTCAGTTGAACAATTTTTTGCTCCGGCTGCTTGTATGACTGATTAGTAATTCGACAATTTTTGTGTAGCAATGCACTCTCCTTTTATCAGAAGCTATTTTAAATTCCCTGGAGTATCTTGCACTTACCCATTAAGAATACAGTTATTTGTTCAGGTCTCGTTTTCAGACTTCTGTGGGGTTCGGCATAATGCTCAGGCATTCAAATGTGACAATAGGAAAATTTGAAAAGGTGGGACACCCTGTATTGTTGCTTTGAAATTTGCCGGGCTTCCAGATCATTAATCTTGACAGACAATGAGTTTTATGCACCCGGCGTGGGTTCGGCATAGTCAGCTATGCATTCAAATCAAATCGGTGACGGCGGAACAATTTTTTGTTTGCCGGATTGTTTTGTTTTGTTTCCTTGTTGTTTTTGTTGTTGTTATTTTTTTTTGGGGGGGGGGGGTTGGGGCTAATTGCCATAAATTGTCCAACATATTGTCCAACATATAAAAAATTTTCGGGTAGAGGGGAAGGGGGAGGGCTGGGCCAAAAAGTAACCGTACCTAACATTTTTCCTACTTGATAGTTTAAAACACGTGCCACTTTCTTTCCTGAATTTTTGCTCTAATTTTGCCCATTTTTTATAGTCTTTATACAGATATATAATCTTTATACAG